CTTTAGTATTATACATATTTATAAATGTATATATATATATTTAATATTTTATGTATGTACATATTATGTATATACATATATGTACATATATAGTATTATTTATTATACATTCTACTACATTTAAGATTAATTAATAAAAAAGAATCTCTTTATCTCTCTCTTTTTTAAATTTCTCAGGTTTTTGTTCAAAATGGATGAAATTATTTTTGATCAGACTACTATAGAGGACATGACAGTTATGTTAACAGTGTTACAGCAACAATATGGCCAATTAAAACTTTTCTCGTCTCGAGCTTTGCAGCAAAGCTCATGCTTCATTGACGAAATATTAAGAATAATTACTTCCTTTTTGGGAAATCGACTCAGAATGTATGATATTAAGATTTCCAGCGATCTCAAAAGGAAATCTAGTTATTTGTCAACTTTCGCCAAATGTTATAATTATTTGTTATTGAATACGAATTTTACCTCGCAGTCCCTTCTTAAACACGACTTGCTATTTGGCCATGCAGTCGGTATCTGGCCTACTCTATCACCTTATCTGTTCATACAGGTGATTCATCAATAACAATCATATCTTAATAAATATTATTAATAATTAATAAATAACATCAAATTTCTGGTTACGTTATAAACGTATTGAACAGTAAACATTTTTAAAAATTTTGACTTTTTCCTTTTTATTAATTATATGTCGAAGAAATGTTAAGGACATTTATACTAGCTGTAATCGTATATTCGCCGTACGTCATAATCTATAAAAATTGATTAATCATCACAGTCGAGTATTTCTTTTTTACAGTTGAATGAGAGAGGAATACTCGACTGATCAATTTTTAATATAACATACGGTTACGGCCAGTAAACCAATAAATGTTCCCTTATTTAGTATTTAATATCGGAATATAATCGGAATATAAGAAAGAGACTCGAAGTATTTTATGATATTAGCTGTGTTTTTAGTTTTTTTTTCTTTCATAATTGATAATGCACATAAAATAACAATAACGAAAAAGATCTCTTTTATTTCATAATTTTACTTCGTATAGTTTAAAAATAATCAAATAATAAAATTTTTTCCTTGAACATTAACTTAAATTAATTCATTATACCTTCTGTACAATCTTTATTTAAATATTGACATAAGGAATTAATATAACAATAATGTAGTTAATATAACAATATATAATAATTCTGTAGCAATAAGAGAAAAATATGATCGAATAATGAAGAAGTTAAGCATATTATATATCTATATTTTTTTACTTGTTGTACAAGATGAATCTTAATTTATACCAACAATTTACCAATATTTTATCATGAGAAATGAATATTTCCCTTACGCGTGATCTCTTACGCTCTTTCTTTTGTAATCGATAATTTATTTTACATGATAAAACATTACAGATTAAGATTCACCCTGTATGTATATATATACATATATAAACATATATATATACATATATATGTTTATT